GTCGAGACGTACACGCGCTTCCACACTGTAAGCAGTTGTATTATTTGTAATATTTTTTTCCACTAATTCCAATAGAACGAAGTGTGGATAAGTCAGTACTTTTTGAATATAATTGATATCTTTTGTAGTTGCCGAAGAAAAAGAAAAAAAATGGTGTCATATAAACATTTGACTGCGACGTTGAGACGTACGTCGCGCTTAGGTTCTTCATGCTGCTAGCGTTTGTTGTATAATTGCGGCAAAAAATTACAAAAAATATCAATTGCGTTCAAAAAGCACTGACTTCTCCACACTATACTCTATTGGAATTAGTCGTTTATAATATTATTAATAATACCCCTGCTTTAAGTAAAATGTAGAAGTATGCGTACGATTCGACGTACGTCGCGGTGAGGCTTTTACATACCGCTAGCATTTATTGATTAATTTCAACTACCAAAGACATCGGTTTTGTTAGAAAAGCACGTACTTCTCCACACTTTATTCTATTGAAATTAATGGTTTCTGATATTACGAATAATACCATTGCTTTAGGTAAAGCGTGGAAGCGCGCGTACGTCTCGACGTCGCGGGCAGGGTCTTATACGCCGCTAGCATTTATTGTTTATTTCACAGCAACTACAAAAAAGATATCGATGCCACTCAAAAAGCACCGACTTTTCTACAATTTATTGAAATTAGAGATTTATAATTATAAATTAGAAGTTAAAAGATATCGATTTCATTAAAAAAACACTGACTTTTCTACGCGTTTTTCTTCTACGTTTTACTTAATATACCAGTATTAATATTATATTTAAAAACTTCTAATTTCAATAGAATGAACTTTGGAAAAATAAATATTTTTTTAATCACATCGATATTTCTTTTGTAGTTGACGAAAAATAAGCAATAAATTCTAGTGGCATGTAAGAGCCTGTCCACAAAGTCGAGACGTACGCACGCTTACAGTTGTCGCATGGGGTCTTTAAGAGAATATTATATCCAAAATAGTCTTTTCTTATAGTTTATATAAATCCAAAAACCTAATTAAACAATGAAAATATTATATAAATTTTTTATATTGGAGTCTCTCAAGATCGCATGTGTCGACTCGTGTTCGTAAAGTAGCGCGACGATTGTAGGATTAATGCCGCTAGCAATTATTGTTTATTTCTTGGCAACAACAACAATCAATGATCAATGTCATTAAAAAAGCACTGACTTTTCGATAGTTTATTCCCAGACAACATAATGTCTACAATCAGGACATAAGACGTCTTAAAGATCATTTTTAAGACGTCTTTCAAACGATTTACGTATAAATGTCTTTAAAGCATCTTAAAGATTATCTTTAAGACGTATTATGTCCCGATTTTAGACATTATGTTGTCTGGGTTCTATTTGAATTATAATGGTACAATTAATATCGGTGAGTTAAATAAAGTGTGGAACCGCGCGTACGTCTCGACTTTGCGGTCAGCCCAGATAGGACAGAGAATTCAAAAAGAACTCAGTCATATGTCACTAATTCTGAGTTCATTTTCAGATGCAAAAAAAGTTCTTCAAAGTTCAGTTTAATGAAAAGAATTCTTTTCGCATGTAAAAATGAACTTAGAATTGGTAACATACGACTGAATTCTTTTTGAATTCTCTGTGCTACCCTTATAGAAATATCATACTAAGAATCATTGACAATTACTTATTATCCAGTATTTTTAATACTGAAAATAAGTAATTATCAATGATTCTTAGTATGATATTTCTATAAGGGTATCTGGCAGGCTCTTACGTGCCCCTATAATTTATCGCTTATTTCTCGATAAAAGTACAAAAAATATTGATATCATTCAAAAAACATTAACTTCTCCACACTTGATTTCGTTGCAATTAGCGGTTTATACTAATGCAATTAATACCGATACGTTAAATAAGACGTGGAAGCGCCCGTATATTTCGACGTCATCGACTGTTACTTTCTTGCAGTTTGAATTTTCTATTTACTTTTCTGTAACCATCGTATATATCGATGTTATTGGAAAAAGCTGTATTTTCCTTATAGAAATATCATACTAAGAATCATTGATACTTATTATCCAGTATTTTTAATACTGAAAATAAGTAATTATCAATGATTCTTAGTATGATATTTCTATAAGGGTTTCCTTACACTTGATTCTGTCGGAAATAACGTTTATAATAAATATTTATAATAATACGATTAATACTGGTGCTTAAATAAAGCATGGAAAGGCGCGAACATCGCATTCAGGCTCTTACATATTATATGTAATATTTAAAAATTTTTCTTAATATATGCATCAGATAGTCAATGTTCTCAAAGAGTCCAAATTTATGTATCATTATATATATTTGTATAATGTCGTCGATTTATAGTTAATTGCGAATATATACTTATTGAAGTATTATATCAGGAAAGTAATGATAATGTATACATCAAAAAGTCAATGTATGCTATTGCATACACTGAGAAAAAAATTTACTAAAAAAAATAAAAATTAGTTAAATTTAAAGAAATAACGTGTTTGCATAGTACTGCAAAATCATTTGTTTCAATTAAACAATTATATTAATGTTCTTCCAACAAATAATTTGTCCATTAAGTAAATAATTAATAAAATTCAAGAAATATTTTTCAGATTATAAGAAATGTTTATTGGAACAAAAGTAATAATTGTTGCAACCAAATAATTTCGAAATAGTAGTAGTATATGGAAAGAAAATGCTACTTTGTCTTAAGCAAATTATATGTTAAATATAAAAAAAGTTTTGTACAATGAAAGTTATACGTACTGTAATATTAAAAAAATAGTTTATTTGAAGGCAATAAACTAGTTTTCTTTGAACCATATCATTATTAAATTGCAGGCAATATTTTCTGCAATGTAGTAAATATTAGTTTAAATTATAGCTTTATATGTTTCCTAAGAGTAAAAATTTATTGAAATATAGTTTTGTAATAAATGAGCAAATGATTTTTGCAATAAATAAATGTATCTTTACCTTTAAAAAATATTTCCTGCAACGTAGTAAATATTTATTACATTACTGTTTTATTTTGTACAAGAGAGTAAATATTTATTGGAATAAAAATGCAATTTTTTTTATAAAAATGCAAAATTTTTGTAAAATCAAATTTCACATTTGATTCAAAGAAATATTCTTTAGTTCCAAAAAAATATTTATTAAAAGAAAAAATGCAACATATTACTAAAAAGAAATATTCTTTAATATCAAAAAAGCATTTTTAATATCAAAAAATATTTTTTAGCTAGTCTTTTTAATTAAATTTCCTTTTTATATTATATTTTTTTCTTTTTTTAAATTTTTTCTTAAATTTAATACATTATTATTTCACATGTTATTTAAATTATATTTCGAAAATTTGCTTACCATTGCTGAGATTTGAACCTGAGATCTCTGGCTCTTGAATCGTTCACTTTATCTACTGTACCACTGTCATTTTCACTAATAGATACTTCTTATTGTATACGCATATAGAGTATACTCATGTACAAAAAAAAAACAAATAATTTATTTAAAAGAAGAGAATAAATCCTTTTAAACGTAAAATGCATGTTTAAAAGGAGCATATGAAAAGTATATTTGAAAAATATTTACTTGTTTTAAAACTAAGTAAAAAACAAATAAATTATTTTGTAAATTTAAATAAATTGTTTTCTGATAGTAAGAGAAACTTAATTTAAAAAAATACTTTTATAAAAACGATACTTTTAATAATAGAAAATAATTTATTTAGATTTATAAAATGATTTATTCGTATTTTATTTACTTTTAAAACAAGCAAATATTTATTTAAACATAGCTTTTAAATAAAAAAGAAACTATTTTTCTTCTTGGAAGGAAATCATTTGCTTATTTTTATATATAGATATTTTAAATCAAAGGCATTATTTTTTTATCTAGAAACTCATAACTTTATAGCTCATTTTACAAATTTAAAAAAATATTACATTATATTTGTTATATGTTTTCTAAATTCAAACAAATACTTCTTTAAGTTAAGAAATTATATTTAACAAAATATATTTCTTTAATTTAAAGAATTTTTTTTAGTGCAGACACATCAAACATATTATTTCACTAATTTTTTAATTAAATTATAAAGATGTTACATTCACTATTACAATAAAAAAAATCATGTTACACGAGTTGCAGTAGTACACAATTCACGTACAACATATAATATATCAGCAATGGTAAGTAAATTTTCGAAGTACAATTTAAATTGAATTAAATACATATTTTTCAGTATATGATCACTATTTACAACGCAAGTGTCGATAGTCACATAGTGCTTTCTTAAGAGTTAAGAATAATTTATTTAATAACAAAAACTTTTTTTTTATAAAAAACTAATTTTTATTTTTTTTAGTAAATTTTTTCTCAGTGTATTTATATCTATATTTCAGATTTAACTAATAGAATCTATATTTCAGATTTGACTAATAGTCATTAATAATATTAGAGGAGGACTTCCGTTTCCGGTAGAGAGTGTGATTGACGTGTGTATGTGGAGTGTGAGTGAAAATTGGGTCATAGAAGATAAGGAGGTTTATAGTGGTGTGTGCGGGGGTGAAAAGATAGGGAAAAGACAGGGTGTGGTAGGGGAATAAGGGTATAGGGGAAGAGGGTAAAGAAGTGGAGAGGTAGAAGGGAAGATAGGTGGATGAGATTTGGAGGTTAGGTGAGTAGAGGGAAGAGTAGGCCACAAACGTAGTTAGTTGAGAAAGAGTAGAACAAGAGAAGAGGCGGAGATAGTGGCAGTAGGGAGTAGGTGGCAGTAGGGAGAAGAAACAGGGAACGGAAAAGCAGGAACGCGGGATTTTTGAAAGAGGGAAAAGGTAGTGTGATAGAGGAAGGAAGAGATGGAAGAAGGAAAAAGGAATGGAGGGGAAGGGAGGGAGTTGGGAAGGCAAGAAGATGGAAAAGGGGAGGAGAAGAGGGGGAAGCGAAGGCCGAGTAAGGCAGAAGGTGTGATGAGGGAGAGAGCAAACAGTCTGTCACTGATAGACGCTTTCAAGAGAGGAGAGAAAAGGAAGGAGATGGAAGAAATACAGGCAGGAATTTTCAAGAAAAGCGTAAAGGTAATGAGATCGCCAGAGAAACAGACGGAAAAGCAATTAGGGAAGCAGATGGAAACTCAGTTAGTGGAACAACCAGAAAAACAGGTGGAAGAGAGGATGGGTGAGATTTTGAGGGAGGTGAGAGAAGGTTTCAAGGAGGTGAAAGCGGAATTGAGAGAGGTGAAGGAGGGGAGGACGGAGATGAGAGAATGGATGGAGGAAATGAGAAGGAGATTAGACAGTTTGGAGAAAAGAGTAGAGGAAATGGAGAAAGATAAGGGAGGGGAGGAGAAAGAGGAAGAGTGTGGGGAAAAGAAGGTAAAGGAAAAGATAGAACAGTTGGAGTTAGGGAGAAAGGGAGAGATGAAGGAAGTAGAAGAAAGAATGAAGAGGCTAGAGTTGGAGGGGGAAAAGAGGAAAAGGGAAGAGAGGAAGAGAAATATAATTGTAAAGGGGGTGAAAGCAAAGGAGGAGGGAATAGAGGGGTTAAGAAAAGAGATAGAAGAGATAGTGGGGGTGACAGGGGCGGTGGTGAGAGTGGAGGGGATGAGAAGCATTGGGTATAAGAACAAGGAGGGAAGGGAGATGGTATGGGTAAGACTAGCGAGTGTAGGGGAGAAAATAGAGGTGATGAAAGGAAAGGCAAAGCTGAGAGAAAGAGGGGAGTGGATAGTAGATGATCTGACTGAGAAAGAAAGAAGGATAGAGTGGTGGATAAAGAGGGAGGCAGAAAGGAATAGGAGGGAGGGTAGGAGATTAAGGGTAGGATATATGAAAACATGGATTGAGGGGAAGCTATGGGTTTGGGACGAGTTTAGAGACGAATTGAGGGAATGGAAGGGAAAAGAAGTAAGGGAGGAGGTGAGGGGGATAGGGAGGGGAAAGGGGGTGGAAAGAGAGAAAGGGGATTTTTAGAGAGGAGGTGGGGGAGGAAGAGGGAAAGATAGAAGAGAACAGGGGGAATAAAAAGGGTGGGAGAAGGTAGGGGAGGAGGAAGGGAGTAAAAGGAAAAGATATAAAATATAAAGTAGCTTACTGGAATGTGGCGGACATGGAAAATAAGGAGGAGGATTTTAGGAAGAAGTTAATGGAGTGGGACGTGATGTTTTTATGTGAGACATGGCTGCAGAGGAAGGGGTGGGAGAGGGTGAAAGAATGGCTGCCGAAGGGTTATATGTGGGAAATGCAGGAGGCTAGAAGGAGGAATAAAAAGGGGTGAGCAATGGGGGGGATGATTGTGGGGATAAGGGAAGGAATAGCAAGAGAGAGAGAAAACTGGGAAAGAATGAAGGAGGGAGTATGGACTATTAAAGTTAAGTTAGGGAAGGTGTGGTGGAGATTGGTGGGAGTATACGTAAATGGAGATCTGAAGGAAAAAATGAGGCTGCTAAGGGAATGGATGGAAGACAGAGAGGAAGGGGTGAAGGTATTAATAGGAGGGATTTTAATGCGAGAACGGAAAGGGGAGGGGGAAGATTGGGGAGGGAGGAGGAAGAAGGGGAAGGGTGGGGGAGGAAGTCGAAGGATGAAAAAATGAATGGAGAGGGGAAGAAATTGTGTAGTTTTTTGGGAGAATTAGGGTGGTCGATTTTGAATGGAAGCATAAAGGGGGACGAGGAGGGAGAATGGACGTTTACGGGAGGGAAGGGAGAGACGGTAATAGATTACGTGATTGGGAATGAAGAGACGAGGAGGAAGGTTGAGAAGATGAAGGTGGAGGAATGGGTGGACTCAGATCATCAACCATTAACGGTATGGGTGGAGGGAGGAGGACAGTGGGAAAAGAGGATAGGAGAAGGGAGAAAGAGGGGAAGAAGGTGGGTTTGGTCGGAAGAGGGAAGGAAGAAATTTGAGGAATACTTCGGGAAAAGGGAAGAGAAGTATGAGGGGGTGGAAGAGGAATGGAGGATGATAAAGAGTAGAGTAGAAAGGGCAGTAGAGAGAGTAGAGAGAGAAGAGAAAAAGGAACGAAGAGGATGGTGGGATGAGGAATGTAGGAACATGAAAAGAGAAGTAAGGGAGGAGCTGAAGAAGTGGAAGATAAGAGGGAGAGAGGGGGAAGGATATAGAGAGATGAGAAAGGGATATAAGGGAATCTTTGTAATGGGAAGAAGAGGCAGGAAAGAGAAAGATGGGAGAGGGAGATAGAGGGAGTGAGGACGGAAAGGGAGGTGTAGAAAGTAGTGAATAAAGGGAGGAAAAAGAGAAAGAGAATCAAGGAAGAGATAGAAATGAGGGAATGGGAAGGACATTTCAGAGGTGTACTGGGAGGTGTAGAATGGAGGT